CAATGATTTTTTTCTTTTCTTTTCTTGACTGTTTCTTCCATGGGCAAATTGATTGTGGATCCAAGTAACATGAAATCTTTGACAACGTTAATCTTTATTCCACTTATCATGATGTTGCTTATTGGCCCAGTTGTGAGGATTTTTTTTTCTCCTTTATGTTAAGGTTCAACATAATGAAAGCTGTAGTATTTGATCTTTATCATGATTCAAGTCCTCTTCACTTTCAGCAGACAAAGTTGTGTCATCTGCATATCGCAGGTTGTTAATGAGTCTTCCTCCTATCCTGATGCAGCATTCTTCATATAGTCCAGATTCTCTAAGCATTTACTCATCATGCAGACTTAATATATCTGGTGAAATGACACAGCCCTGACCTAAAAATGGCTCAAAGGACATGATTACCTGACAAGGAACAAAGAGCCATGTAGAGGCCCTCCCTCATCTTCCCCCCTCTCACTTCTAGTTGCCTCTTCTTTACAAAGGGACAGACACACCCAACCCAGGACACACCTGGGGCTGAATGGAAACTGATCTTTTCTTCCTGCCCAGACTTTCCAGCTGCCAGCTGGAATGATTGCAAACGCAGCAGAAAACAGATCATTACTAACTGATGAGGCCGAATTCCTCCTTTAAGATAGCTCTGAGCCTGTTGCAGCCCTTTGAGAGAGAAAAGTATGTATGTGAAAATATGTGTGTGTCTTAAAATTAATGGATTTGGTCAGGCTGAGGTCTAAAGGGGAACTCTCCCTCAGAATTCCATATACACCTGCAAAGATCTGGGAGGCAGTTCAGCAGGATGGAAATGAAATTCCTGCCCAGACAAAGCGTTCTTCAAACCCCTCACCTTCATTCATTCATTTCATCAACATTGACTGAGAAATTACAATGTCCAAGACGTTGTGCCAGCATCCCTTCACACTCCATAATTACAGTTTTAAAATATATCAACCCCAGCCTGGCATCAAACATGAAGTGCTTTTGCAGTCCCCAGAAGGAATCTATGTGAGTTGACTTCATATATATACCTATTCTGGCATCCTGGGGAAGCATCTATGTGAAGCTTACTTCAGCCTCTATTTTTAAATTCTGTTAGAATTTAAAATCAGCCCTGGCTGCTGGATGCATTCAGGAAACACAACCAGAGCCTTCCACCTTGGCTCTTACCAAGTCAACTCCTTCCATCTGAGCAAAAGAAAATGAGCATATATAAGACATGCTGGCCCAGTAGAGGAAGGCACCAAGGAAGACTAGAGGTGAGCACCAAGAGATGGAGACATGCGGTTATTTCCCCATTTGGTACACTCCGGCCAACATGAGAAGGAGTGATGCAGGGGCAAGCTGATGAAATCATTGATTCAGGGAGGTTTTTTACTTTCTATTTTATTTCCAAATAGAAGGAAACCTCATATTCTGCAGTGGATTTAAAAGCAGTCACATCTAAAGACTAGAATTGATTAATTGGATGGCTTCAAGATCCCTTGGGACCCCAGGTTTGGCCATTGAATTGAGCAGGCAAGGCTGAGCTTGGATCTTTTAAGACTTGGTCATGGGCCAGGTGTCCAACCTAAACACAGATTTTTTAAAACATCTGAGCAAATTCATGTCTAATTCAGAAATTGGCACATCTCTTTCTGAAAGGAAGTGCATTCAGGCTTCTATGAAAGCAGCCAGTGACAAACTAGAGTGTAAAATCCAGGGAAGAGGAGTCATAATGTCAGTACCTGTCTAGCTCCAGGGAGGATAATGCGAATCAAAATCAGCCCAAGGCTGACTCCTCTGAGGCAGACATCAGACATTCCTCCACTCTCCTTATGACCAACTCTGATAACCTACATGTTTCCTACACACTCTCAACCTCTTCTCTTCTGGGTTCAACAATCTATTGCAATATGGCCACACAAAGCTCCCACTCCACATTGACAGTTGAATGACTTATTAAGGAAGTAGCAAGATACAGTTCATGGTCAAAATGAGAAACATGTAGATAGTCTCTCTTCTCCCAGGCAGAACCGCTTTCAGCTCCTCTCAGTCCTTCGGGGACGGGCTCCTCTGACCCTGCCAACTGTCACACCAGCTTTACCACTGGGTCCCTGCTGGGCCTTTCACTTTCTTTAGCATTGCTGCCTTTGAAGAGGTTCCTTCCCTCCCCTTTCTCTGCTAATTCTTTCTTTGCTCTGCTTTTTTTCCTTCTGTTTCTTCCAGCTACTTCTTTTCCTGCTTCTTTCTGTATCCAAAACCTCTATGAGACTAACTGCTTCAATACACAAACTCTTATCAGTTTCAAGGCCTGACACTCCCACCAGGACCATGAGCTGACCACCAATCCAGTCAATAGGCCACTGACACTTCATTTGCATAGTAGGCTATTTGTTGTTGTTAAGTGCCGTTGAGTCGGTTCTGACCTATAGCGACCCTGTACAGGGTTTCCGAGGCTGTAAATCTTTACGGGAGCAGAAAGCCTCATCTTTCTTCCACAGAGCGGCTGGTAGTTTCCAACTGCTGACCTTTCATTTCACAGCCCGATTTGTAACCACTATGCTACCAGTAGGCTATAGTTACCTCATTTTTACAATCTATTGACCAATCCCTGCAAGGTGTATATAAGTCAATAGGGTAATCCGTAGCCCAGGATCAAACAAAAGTATCAAAACCAAATTGTTTACAGCTTATCCAAGAAATGTCAATCAACTTGGACAAAAGTAACAAACTTTCTAATGTAGAAAAAAAAGGTGAGATTTCAAGAAAAAAAATTCCTGATTTTGTTTTTCCAAAGAACCAAGGCAAAGGCCGCATAAAAGACTCATTTCATGATATATGGCTACCAGCTTTTGCCATGCAAATGGTTAATGCTCACTTACTAACTGAAAGATTGACAGTTCAAATCCACCCAGAGGTGCTTCAGATGTAAAACTTAACAATCTACTATAGTCATGGAAAACCCTATAAGAAGCATGTCTACTTCAAAAGACATGGATTTACCATGAGTCAGAATTAATCCAATGGCAACCGGTTTTCATTTCTGTGTGTGTGTGTGTGTGTGTGTGTGTGTGACAGAGACAGCTAAGAATGGCTTTCCATTTTTAAATGGCAGAAAAAGAAACCAATAGATGAAAAGTATTTTGTGACAATGAAAGTCAATGTTCATTGTCCATAACAAACTTTTATTGGACCATAGCCACATCCAGTCATTTACTTCTTGTTTATGGCTACTTTGGGATTCCTGGGGTGGAAATGTAGGGTCAGCACTGGACTGCAAGCTACAAGGTCGGGAGTTCAAACCCATCAGCTGCTCCTCTGAAACCCTATGCAGGGTCGCTGTGAGTCAGAACCAACTCAACAGCACTTAACCACAACAATAGCTACTTTTGTGATGCAACAACCACACTGAGTAGTTGTAGCAGAGATTGCATGGCCCACAGAGTCTAAAATATTTACTATCTGGTCCTCTGCAAAAAAAGTGTGCAGACCCTGAAGTAAGGTAAAAGAATAGTCCTGTGTCAAAGCAGAGAGAGGAGAGGGTTACATAAGTGATTGTTTAATAAACTGAATGAGACAACTTTGTTGAAGAACCTAGTGATCTTTTCCATCAGTTAAACCACAGAGCGGGAGCCAATTAAGCATGTGTGGCATCAGCAAGGCAACTTACCAATAACACTTGCGAGAGGAAGAACGGCCCGCCATCTTTATTACATTCTTGGAGCTTCCAGAAAAGTGAATCTGAATATCCCATAGGTTCCATTTATCACTTAACAAAAGCTTTCACTCTTGGCTCTGGGTTGTGGGTCTCCTTCCAGCTCTGACCTGTTGTGCTGTGGGGTCAACCACAAAGGACTCAAACCTGGTCTAGAAGGGGAAGAAGTAAGCACCCTAAATGGGATCCTGGTGATGTCATGTAATGTTAGATGCCAGTGAGTCGGTTCTGATGCAAAGCATCAGCTGAACACATAGCCATTCTCACAGTTCTTACACTTGAACCCAAAGATGCTACCACTGTGTCAGTCCATCTCCTTGGGGGTCTTCCTGGTTTTTGCTGACCCTCTACTTTACCAAGCATAGTGTCCTTCTCCAAGGACTGGTCCTTCCTGATAATATGTCCAAAGTACTAGACATGAAGTTTTACCATACTTGCTTTTAAGGAGCGCTCTGATAGTACTTCTTCTAAGAAAGATCTGCTTGCTCTTCTAGAAGCCCATGGTATTTTTAATATTCTTCTCTAGCACCATAATTGGAGTCCTTGTGTGGCACTGTGGGTTAATGCACTGGACTGCAAAGTTGTTTTGAACCACAAGGTTGGCAGTTCAAGCTCACCAGTCACTCCTTGGAAACCCTATACAGGGTCACTATGGGTCAGAACCAACTTGATGCACTCAATACCACCAACAGCATCATAATTAAAATGCATCAATTCTTCTCCAGTCTTCCTTATTCACTGTCCAACTTTCACATACATTATGAGGTTATTGAAAATACCATGGCTTGAGTCAGGCACACCTTAGTCCTCAAACTGACATCTTTGCTCTTGATCACTTTAAAGAGGTCTTGTGCAGCAGATTTGCCTAATGCAATACATCGTTTGATTTCTTGACTGCTGCTTCCGTGAGTGTTGATAGTTGTTCCAAGCAATTGGATCCAACTTCAATCATTTCTCCATTTGTTATGTTATTCATTGGTCCAGTGATGAAGATCTCTGTTTTCTTTACCTTGAGGTCTAATCCATACTGAAGGCTGCAATTTTTTTTATCTTCTTCAGTATTTTAAGTCCTCTTTGCTTCCAGCAAGCAAGGTTGTTTCATCTGCATATTGCAAGTTGTTAATGAATCTTCCTCCAACCCTGATGCCCCGTTCTTCTTCATATAATCCCTACAGTTCAGCAATCCTCTCCCCTGCTTCCTTGGAACAGATTGGAAGCTGCCGATCCCCTTGGAACCTGTCTATCCACCACTAATCTCCTCGAGTATAAGTGCCACCAAAGCTGGGGGACGAAGCTGGGACTTGTCTCCACGAATAGCAAAGACCTTCCGAATCCATGATGTAAGTCTTCCAAGGATTCTTTTCCTCCCTTATCATTTGCAGATAGAAAGTGAGAATGTGTCAAGGGGTGAGGTAAGCAAAGGAGGCACATCTGTTGACAAAGACCAAAAGAGCAGGACTAAAAGGAGCTCTGGTAGTGTAGTGGTTACGAATCGGGCTGTGAACCGCAAGGTCAGCAGTTCAAAACTACCAGCTGTTCCGTGGGAGAAAGATGAGGCTTGCTGCTCCTGTAAAGATTTACAGTCTCAGAAACTCTGTACCGGGTCACTGTGAGTCGGAACCGACTCCACGGTACATAACAACAGCAACAAGCACTTGCAGGAGGACGTCAAAGACCATTGCCTTCAGTATGGACTACACCTCAACACAAAGAAAGCAAAAATCCTCAAAACTGGACCAATAAGCAATGTTATGATAAATGGAGAAAAGATTGAAGTTGTCAAGGATTTCATTATACTTGGAACCATCATAATCAATGCTCATGGAAGCTAAAGTCAGGAAATCAAAGGACTCATTGCACTGAGCAAACCTACTGCAAAAGACTTCTTTAAAGTGCCAAAAGACAAAGGTGTCACTTTGAAGACTAAGGTGTACCTAACCCAAGCGATTTTCATTCACCTCATACACATGTGGGAGTTGGACAATGAGTAAGGAAGACTAAAGAAGAATGGATGCATTTAGATTGTGACATTGGTTAAGAATATCGCGATACCATGGACTGCCAGAAGAAAGAAAAAATCTGTCTTGGAAGAAGTACAACCAGAATGCTTCTGAGGATAAAGGAAGGTGAAGTTTCATGTCATGTACTTTTGGACTGGAGGGATCAGTCCCTGGAGCAGGACTTCGTGCTTGGTCACATAGAGGGCACAATCCTCCGAGGGACGCAGTGACACAACAACTTCAACAATGAACCAGACATAGCAATGTGTGTGAGGATGGCGCAGATTCAAGAAGTGTCTCATTCTGGTGTACGTAGGGTCACTGTGACTCAGAACTGATAGGACTGCACCTAACAACAACATTCACTCCACCGCCACCACCGTCACCTCCTGACCACCATGTAAGAGCTTCTTGTTGTTGTTAAGTGTCGTCAAGTTGATTCTGACTCATAGCAACCCTGTACAGGGTTTCCAAGGAGTGGCTGGTAAGTTTGAACCGCTGACCTTGAGGTTCAAACCAACCTTGCAGTCCAGTGCATTATCCCCAGCGCCACACCAAGACTCTGAGGCAAAAAATAAAATCCTGACTACACGTCACAATGCATTGTAGATCTCATCAGAAATTCCTAAAAAGAAAGAAGAGTCCTAAAAAAATCTGATGGTTTTCTGGAATTCCTAATGGTCAGTTCCAACCCTGAGGTACTGCTGTTCCTCCGCCTTGCCCTGAATTTCTGTTGTCCTTCTAATATATAAGATGGTGTGAGTTTTTATACTCTAATACCTTATCCTGTAGCTAACATTCATTTTGTCTTACGGGAAAGGCATTTTTTTTTTTTTAAGTCTTCTGTAAATCTAAGCCTTTTTCCTGGTTGTTTTTAAATTTAGAGATGTCCTTCTTCAAAAGTTAAGCATTCACTCATGTGACAAACTTCTGTTGATCACTTATTACTAGATATGTGACCCACATAGATGGAGGAAATGCCAGTCCTGTTCTCAAGGACTTTATGGTCTCATTGGGACATGATCAAATAAATAGACACCAGCAATGAGTCAGGACTCCTGGTGTGGCACTATGGGAGCAACACTGGACTGCGAGTCACAAGGTCGGCAGTTCAAACCCACCAGCTGCTCCTTGGAAACCCTATACGGGGTAACTATGAGTCGGAACCGACTTGATGGCAGTTAACAACAGCAAAAGCAGCAGCAGTAAGTCAAGTGAGAGGCGCAGACCCTTGGAGTGTGATGGAGCAGAAGTCAGAGGAGGGGCTAAGCTGCTGAGTTGGGAGACAGAAAGTCTTCCTTTGGAGGTGATTGTTTGTTGGAAGTGAAACTCAAAGTCCTGAAAGATGAATAGGAATGAGACAGGGGAAGAGGAATGAATAATGGCTGAGAAGAGAGTGATTCTGGCAGAAAAAAGATGTGCATGCAAAGTCTGGCTTCATTATTAAAAATGTGATGCGGATGGTGGTGGTGGCGGTGACCCTGCTGAAGAAAGGCAGCATGGGAAATCAGAGGAATGAGCAGAGCTAGTAGAGGACGGAGCTGAAAACCCTCTCGTCCTTCCCTACATAAACTGCTCTAATCCAGTTCAGCTCTGGCCCAATCTGAGATCCAGTGGCTTCGAGGAAAACTCCAGAAACCTTCTTCCTTGGATTGCAGCCACCACCTCTATGTGAATTTGTTTAGAATTTGATGCAAGAGAAGAAGATAAAGAAACCTCCGGAAAGTCCCCCATCTTTCTGGTACTCAGTGTCTTCATCAAGGATATGGGTGCGTGCTCTCTAACATCCGAGGGGCCTCTGGTTTTCATCAGCCTCTTTGTCACCTGCCTGCCTCCAGATCTGTTCTTTCAGGGGTCACCCGACATCCTTACGGTCAGTTCTGGGAGAAATAAAAAGCTCCCATCATTGTTTCCTGCTGTGTGGGAGGCAGGAAATGGCCTAACCCCCAAATTGGGATGAGGTTCTTGTGGTGTGTCCAGCCGCCCACTCCTCAGCACCCTCCCCCCGTCCCAGGTGTCACAGCCAGAAAAGAGACACAATCAGTCATCAGCAGTTGGGACCCAGCCACCAACATGTTGCTAACCATCCCCCCACCTCTGGAAAGCTGGAGAATCAAGATGTCAATGTTTGCTGGCCCTCCTCCCTAAACAAAGGGGGAGCCAAGTGCACCCAGGGAGCATCCTGTGGTCAAGAATCTAGGCCGGGCTCCATAGTCATTGGTCACACCTAGTAGAGCAAGAGAAGGTACAAGGCAGGATTTGGAATTGTGTCTTCAATCCAAAGAGGCCAGGAGAGAAGGGAGGGAAAAAGGAGATGAGGGGTAGGTGGCCAGGAACCAGGAAAGCCAGCTGGGAACAAGGATCAGAGCAGGAATGGAGAGGCAGGAGATACTTTCTGTAGCCATCTCGCATCCTTGTACAGGGTACTGTTCAGGATAACCCCATGTTGGTGTCTCTCCTAGTGGAACACTGCTTTGTTTCTAATAGAAGTGAAATTCGAGTCGTAGGATGGACCTCCTTTACATACAAGACCACGCCTTCTGCCTCTGAGAAGAATGGCCTTTAACCCCACAGTCTGGGCACACCATTTTCACACATGTAATGCTATTCCAAGGTTAGGAAACGGCTTCAATCAACAGTCCAACAGAGCTGGATGATGAGGCTAGGTTCCATGGTGAGAGACACTCTCACAATTAGAACTTAGGGCCCTGACTCTCCGTCTACTGGGCCCGACTCCCAGCAACACACGAGGGGTAGCCCTCTTCTCTGCCTTCCAGGGACATGCAGATAGTTACTGTCTAGTCTATTCCAACTCATGAAGATCTTATGTGCCACAGAACAAATTCTGCCCAATCCTGTGTCATCCTCATGACCCCCAGATTTCAACTCCATCACTCTAACTAAACATCTCATTGAGGCTCTCACTGGCTCTCTACTCCACCAAACATCAAGTCCTCATCCAGTGATTGATTCCTCCTGGTGACATGGCCAAAGTATTCTAAACAGTGTTCTATTGTGCCCTGCATGGTTTTCCCTGGCTAGTTTTTCAGAAGTAGAGCACCTGTCCGCCAGTCTAGAAGCTTTGCGGAAATCTGACAACCACAGGTGACCCTGTGGGCCTTTGAAATACTGGAGGCATTGCTCCTAGCATCCGAGCAACACCCAAGCCACCAGAGTATGAAAAAACTGACAGACAGGCTGTTGTCTGCCTTCCAAGGCAAGAGGAAATTAACAAAGTTGAATGGAAGTTCTGTTAATGAAAATGAGGCTTCAGCAGAGTGGGCTGATGTAGTAGCTCCAGCTTGTCTTTGTTAGAGCCTGCGATACCTGGTAACCACATACCATCTGGGTTTCTCACTGCAGGTGCCTGTGTCCTGTCTACCACAGCAGGGCCCTTTCCGACAATACATGGACAAGACGGTGGAGAAGAGATTGGCCAGCTGGAAGGAGCGCCGCAGCCGCTTTGGAGACGTTAATGTTCACAAATGCTATCAGTTTGGGCAGATCTTCTCCCCTTTCCAGGCCCTCGCGACAACTGTGAGCCAATCCTTTTACTGTAAAGGGTTTTAGAGTCTTTGGGTAAGACCAATGACAAACCCCAGCTCTTTCTCCTTTTGAGGGATGTTGTTAGTCAATTCTGGCCATAAAAATGCTGTGTGATAAAACACCCAAGCACTCAGTGGCTTATGACCAAAGGCATCTAATCTATTTTTCTCACTCACTGATTGCAGAGAAATACACTCTTTCAAGTCTTGTTTATTGCACACTAACATAGCAGAAGGGACTAAAGAGCCGAGAACACTAATTCTAGTTACCGCATTGGATTAAATCAATCCTCTTCTGGTGTGGCACTGTAGGATAAGCATTGGACGGCTAACTGCAAGATCAGTGGTCACTATGAGTCAGAACCAACTCCATGGCACTTAATGATAACAACAACAAACAAAACCAAACAGATTGGTGGTCAGAGGTCTAGGGAAGGTAAGAAGGCAGGTGGTGATACCTGTGAGCATTGCAATGGAGGGGGGGAGATTTTGTGTGAGATAAAGGGAAGTGATTTTAGCTCCCATCCCTCAACCTCACCTGCTGCTGGATCCAGGTCACTTTAGGCAAAGGTGCGGGACTATGAATCATTTGTGAAGACTGGTTAAAACAGATTCCCAGGCTTGTAGCCATTCCCATTCAGTGGGTCTGGGATGTTGTTGTTAGGTACCATCAAGTCGGTACTGACTCACAGTGACCCTAGGCTCAACAGAATGAAATACTGCCCAATCCTGGGCCAGCCTCACAATTGTTGCTACATTTGAGCCCATTGCTACCACCACTGTGCCTATCCATCTCATTGGGGGTCTTCCTCTTCTCCAACCCTCCACTTTACCAAACATGATATCCTTCTCCAGTGACCGGTCCCTCCTGATAATATGTCTGAAGTATAACAGATGAAGTCTGGCCATCCTGGTTTCCAAGGAACACTCTGATTGTACTTCTTCCAACACAGATCTGTGTGTTCTTTTGGCAATCCATGGTACTTTTAATTTTCTCCAACACCTAACTCAAATGTATCAATTCTTCTGTGGTCTTCCTTACTCAGTGTCCAACTTACACATGCATATAAACTTATTAAAAATACTATGGCTTGGGTCAGGCACACCTTAGTCCTCAAGCTGATATCTTTGCTCTTAAGACTTTAAAGAGGTCCTGTGCAGCAGATTTGCCTAATGCAATACATCGTTTACTTTCTTCATTGCTACTTCTATGACTTTCTACTGCTATTCATAAGGTGTTCAGTGACTAAATATTCAGAAGTAGTCTGTCTCTCCTTCTTCCTTGTCTGTCTTTGTCTGGAAGGTCATCTGAAACGTGTCCACCATGGGTGACCCTGCTGGCATTTAAAATACCCGTGGCATAGCTTCTAGAATCACAGCAACATGCAAGCCACCACAGTATGACAAACTGACAGACGAGTGATAGGGATTTGGAATTTCCTTTTTTGGGGAAGTGCTCTATTCACCACCGTTATATAGCATTTGTTGTTGTTGTTAAGTGCCATTGAGTCGATTCCCATGCATAACGACCCTGTGTAGGGTTTCCAAGGAGCAGCTGGTGAGCTTGAACTACCTACCTTGCAGTTCAAACGGCTTTGCAGTCTGGCGCATTAACCCACAGCACCACACCAGTACTCAGTCACTATTTCTCAACCTGTTCACAGAAAACGGTCAGTTTTGAAAGGCACACGGGGGGAGGGGGAAGGGCGGGAGGGAACCTTAGGAGGCAGCCGGCAGGGCTAAGGCTGCAGGGATAACTCAGCAACCTCCAGTGTCCCTGCCCTATTCACAGCTTCATGTTGTTGTTGTTAAGTGCCGTCATGTTGGTTCTGACCCATAGCGACCCTGTATAGGGTTTCCAAGGAGCAGCTGATGAGCTTGAACCACCGACTTTGCAGTTCAAACGACTTTGCAGTCTGACGCATTAACCCACAGCGCCACACCAGGACTCCACAGCTCCATTATTGTTATGTGCCATGGAGTTGGTTCTGACGCATAGCGACCCTGTACAGGGTTTTTGAGGCTGTAAATCTTTATGGGAGCAGAAAGCCTCATCTTTCTCCCACGGAACAGCTGGTAGTTTCAAACTGCTGACCTTGCAGTTCACAGCCCGATTCGTAACCACTACACTACCAGAGCTCCTTAGTGTGCACCAAAACCCAGACTGGGAGCTTTTATTCCACATCAGTACTTTTCAGCTTTGACTACACATCAGAATCGCCTGGCTCGGTTTTAAAAGTGTTCATGTCCAGGCCTCAACATAGACCAATTAAACCAGGAGCTCTGGGGCCCTGTCCCACTCAACAGGGTATTTTAAAGGTAACCAGCCTGACCCAGGTTTCTGGGGCCTTTCCTGATGTGAGCCCAGGAAACAACCTTAATCCTGATTTAAAAATGGAAAGTCTCATGTCTCTGGAATCTGGGCAAACCAGAATAGTTGGTCACCATATCCATAGATAGCTCCAATGTGTAGCTAAGGTTGAGAGCCCTGTTCTCTGTGACTTTTCTAAGAATTAGCCCTCATTTCTCACATTGCAGGCAGCTGCTGCTTATCCACCCATTGACTGGCCAACATTCCCTAAACATGAGCATGTGCACAGCAAAGTGCTAAGCACCGTGAAGTCAGGTATGGAAAACCCACACTATCAACACCAAACCGACGGAACACTAATGTGCAGAACTGCTGCATAAATTGGTTGGCCCAGACAATAATGGAGGTTATCCAGATTGGAACTGCCTTTTGCTAAAACCAACCTCAAAGGTCTTGCTGAAGAAGCAAATCACACCAGATAGAGCCACCCTTTGAACACATAGTGCCACTTGGGAAGAGCAGATTACCCATATATTGGAAGTAATATCACCCATGCATTGAGCTCCTAGAGTCCCTGAGTTAGCAGCTAGCTGAAATGCTAGAGATTCAAGCCCAAACAGAGGTGCTTTGGAGAAAGGTCTGGTGATCTAATTCTGAAAACTTACGGAGCACTGTTCTACTGACGTGCACAGTGTTGCCGTGTGTTGTACTCAACTGAACAACTGACTTACTGAGCTTTGTACCAAACAGAGTGTAAAGGTTTTACAAATACTTAATCCTGATGTGGCGCTGGGGGCTAATGCATTAGACTGCAAAGTCGTTTGAACTGCAAGTTCAGTGGTTCAAGCTCACTAGCTTCTCCTTGGAAACCCTATACAGGGTCGCTATGGGTCGGAATTGACTTGACGGCACTAAACAACAACAACAACAATCCTTATGACTTCCGCCACTTTGTAGATGAGGAAATGAAGGTTAAAGTAAGATATATTAAGTAACTGGCCCAGGATGACTGCATTATTAGAGACAGAGCAGGATTTGAAGCCAGTTTGCTGAATTAGCGTTCTCAACCCCCACACTCCATTTCACGGTTACTATTCTGTTGTACAGGAAATGCAAAGACTGGTGTTTCCCCGAGAACTGCCCACCGGTTCCCACACACGGAGGGCAGGCACTTCATGCTCCATAGACGGGAATCTCCAAGATTCACACTTGTCTTCCACAGGACAGGACTTGAGAAAGGATGACAACAATTGTGAGAAGAAGAAACCAGTGAGCCAGATTAAAACTCCTTTATTCCCCCCAATATTTAGAGCTGCAAAATCTAATGACATGAAACAATAAAAATTACCAAACTGTATTCTGATCCCAAAGCTGCAAGGCTTCGCTGAAACAATGAGAGTTCAGGGACCCAGAAATGCTGAGACGTTCTCAATCCTAACTTAATGCTTAGATACTTTGAGCAACATCACGAACGTGCCTATGTGTGAACATGTTTCAGGAGGGTGAAACAAATTAGGGACCACAATACCTACCTGGAAGTGAAATCTCAATAAGAATTCTTTTCTCAGTCTGAAGATGAGGGAGGGAACAATTACAATTCAATGAATCATGAATCCAGCTCGCTTCGTCTTTCTGCTTTACTATCCTCAGAATGCTGGCCGCTGAGCTAAGGCATTGCTCCTCAACGTCACAAGATGGCTGCTATGGCACCAAATACTACATTCTCATATGAACATGTCAAACACTGAAAGGGTAATGTTTCTACCCATGTTACACACACACACAGAAGGAAAACCTCTCCCAGGACAACACATTCCCTAGTCATTCTCATTGTCCATAAGGGAGTAATTTGTCCAGGTTCTAATTACACTGACAGTTGGGAGGTACCATTGCATGTGCTTTCTACTGACTGGTAGTCACGTTCTGCCAGAAAGAAAGTAAGAAAATGGATTGTGGAGAATCAATTCTTATCAGCCATGGTGGAACACTCACTCTTTGAAAATCAAACCAATATAGTCGATCCTTACGACTCATGGATCCCATACTTGCAGATTTGTCTACTCCCTAAAATTTATTTCTAATCCCCAATTCAATATCCACTGCTCATGCGCAGGCATTTGCAGACCTACGTGTGCGCAGACGGAAGAACACATGGACTGCACGTCTCAGATGAGGTGAATGAGGGCTGTTTGGCCTCTGCTCATTCCTCATTCCTAGTGACTTCAGAGCATTAAAGTATGGCTGTTGTTGTGAAGTGCTGTCAAGTCAATTCCGACCCATAGCAACCCTGTGTAGGGTTTCCAAGGAGCAGCTGGTGAGCTTGAACCACTGACCTTGCAGTTCAAATGGCTTTGTAGTCTGATGCATTAGCCCACAGCACCACATCAGAATCTGCAGTATCGGCCTATGCTGTGTGAAAATATGCCCTCTGATCATTTCTAACCATCAGTCCCAACATGCCTCTCAAAGAGCCTCTTCCTTCTTAAATAATCTTCACTTCCTTTTGATTTTAAAAGTTATATATATATATATATTTCTCGAAAGTATAAGCAAGAAAAACCCAGATCCCTCCACTTAGAGATATGCAGTGTCTACATCACAAGACTTGTGGATGGCTTTCTGAATTTAACTGTCTTCCTAGTCTCCATTTTACTAAGACCATTGGCAATTACACAGGCAGAATTTTGTATTTCTAGCACTAGACTGCAAACCATAAGGTTGGCTGTTCAAACCCACCAGTTGCTCCTTGGAAACTCTTTACAGGGTTGCTGTGAGTTGAAACTAACTCAACGGCACTCAACAACAACAACAGGACGTCTTTGAGCCAAAATCTTTTTCCATAGTTTTGTCTGAGTTTTCTCTCAGCCCCCACATCCAATGTTTCTCAGAGGGTCAATCATCTGGTCCACTTCTAGTCTAGGACGTCTGCTGGAATTACAACACTGACCCCAAGAATTACAACCTTGCCTTGCTTCTAACTTTTTAGCATACAAAGTAACCCCACCAACAAAAACAAAATCTGTGTGTTGTTGGTTTTTTTTAATCCTTACCTTATTTCACAGATTCATGGAGGATTTGACCTTTTCTGTTTTCAACACCTTCTAGTTTATTTCTGAAAAACAGAGTGCACACAAGGCAGGTATCCTCTTTCTTGGCACATGTTCTCTAAGCAGCTAATTTTACAGCTACCTTGCTTAATTTAATTGTCTTTTCACTCTCCATTTTATTAAGGTCATTTAACATTATACAGACAGAATTGTGTACCTTAGCATCTTCCATTCCTTTTAAGCCAGGGTTTGCAAAGGACAGCCTTCAACCCAGTCCTGCCTGGCTCCGGATTCTACAGAGTTCTAAAGTAACCCAACCACTCCTCTTTGTTTGCATGTTGTCTATGACTGCTTTTTACAAGATAGCAAAGTTTATGGGATGCAACAGAACTCCTATATCCCACAGAACTGCTAACAGTTACTAGCTGACCCTTTACAGATAAAGCATGCTTGTCCTTCCTAAGCCAGATTCCCCTCTACAAAGTCCTACTGCACTTGTCTCTGTTTTGTTTTGTTTTTAATTTCCTTAAACTCTAGGTTCCATTACTCACTATGTCCCACTAAACTTTCCATCACAAATATGAACTCAAGTAGCCATAATTCTAATAACTAACTTCCAATTTTCACTTTTTATTGGCTGAAGGTATATAGAACAGATCAGTTTTCCATTCAATAATTCATATATGTTTGGTTTCATGTCATTGATTTCTGTCCCCACAAGGTAACATCGCTTTTCCCACTTCCTCCTTGTGTTCCCTGTTTCTATTCCTCCTTCTTTCCTAACTCTTCTAAACTTTGTCCTGGGGCAAATAAATGGTTGATCATTCTGATGTTTGTTGCTGTGGTTACGTACAGTCAAGCCAGTTCTGATAGCAACCCTTTATAGGGTTCCCAAGGAGTGGCCGGTGAGATTGAACTGCTGATCTTGCAGTTAAAGCTGACTTTGTAGTCCGGTGCATTAACCCACAGTGCCACACCAGGACTAGCTAACATTTATTGAGTACTTACTGTGTGCTAGGATTCCTGGTATGGCACTGTGTGGTATGTACTGGACTACTAACCATAGCATAGTGGTTAAGAATTGGGCTGCTAATCTCATGGTCAGCAGTTCGAAACTACCAACTGTTCTGCAGGAGAAAGATGAGGCTTTCTGCTCCCGTAAAGATTTACAGCCTTAGAAATCCTGTACAAGGTCGCTATGAGTCGGAACTGACTCCACGGCACATAACAACAACTAACCATAAAGTCAGTGGTTCAAACCCATCGGCCAATTCTTAGAATCCCTATTCAGGGTCTTTATGAGTCGGAACCAACTCAACAGCACATAACAACAATAACAACAACAATGTGCTCAGTATTAATTCACTTAATTCTTGCAACCACCTTATAAAGTTGTTAGCTGCAGTTGAGTCAATTCTGACTTCTGGTGACATCATGTTGTTGTTGTTAAATGCTGCCGTGTCAGCTCTAACTCACAGTGACCCTGTGTAGGGTTTCGAAGGTGTGACTGGTGGGTTTGAACCACTGACTTGCGGTTAGTAGCCCTGTGCTGATCCTCTGGTGCCACACCAGGTACTTTGAAGAGGAGGCAACAGAAGCCCAACAAAGCAATGAAGCACAGCTACAAAGTGACAGAACCAACACCTATGCCCTATGCGCTCTGCTAAGCCATCATGCCCCCCTGCTGCCTGCCCTGCAGAGACAGTCACCTCCAATAAGTGCCCTGTCCCTACCGTTCCCAATCAGTTTTTCCTTATGGGTTGAAATCTTAAATACAGGTAGTCCCAGGTTGCCAATCCCATTTACAGAAAATGCCTAAACCCATTGCCAACCAAGTCAATTCTGACTCATGCATTTGGTCTATATATAAGGTTTCTGAGGCTGGAAATCTTTACAGGAAGAGACAACCTCATCTTTTGCCCATGGAGAATAACAATCCAGCGTCTAACCCACAGCACCAACCAGGGTTCCTTTCTTTGCACCAAAGCCAGGCTCAACAAGAGCCATATGCACCTGGCTCAACATACCTGCACATTCTTAAAGACCCAGTTAGGAACTGATCTCCTTCAGAACCCAGAGGACTGCCTGTGAGTGGCTTCCTCTATTTGAAGGAAGAATGGCATGCCAGCAAGGAAATTCAAGAATGTATCCAATTCCCTCCCTCAAGGTGTCTGCTGATGAAATCTCCATCACTGCTCTGTCTGCCCACAGCCAGTGTTGTCATCGGCAGTAAGGAACTATCTGCATAACCTACATCGTTACCTTGCAGTATCCGTAAAAGTTTCTGTTCTTCTCTCTCCTTATTCCACACAAAGCTCCTCCCTCCCACCTGCTTCCCAGGCTCCATACAGATACCAGCTTCACATCTGTGCTATCCCGCCTTTTCTTCCTAAGCCAGGTGCTGGTCCATCCACTCTGACTCATGGTGACCATGTGCATCTCAGAGTACAGCCGTGCTCCACAGGGCTTTCCATGACTGACTTTGGGAAGTGATCACCAAGTCTTTCTTCTGAGGTCTTGCTTTCCATTTAGAATTCAAGCAGAGATCAACCTCAGGCAACAATAATGGAAGGCAAGCAATGAGAGCTCAGATCCAGAGAGATAACTTCCAATGCTTAGACCACTGACTAAGCATGAAAAGGAACAACTATCCATTCACTTCACCACTGACCACAATCTGACACTGGACTGTGAACCACAAGGTTGGCGGTTCGAGACCACCAGTCACTTCATGGGAGAAAGATGAAGCATTCTGCTCCCACAAAAATATAAAGCCTCAGAAACCTTATATAGAATTGCTATGACTTGGAACCAACTCAAGGATACTTAACAATAACAACAATGTACAACTCTGCAGGTTCCCATTAACTACACAAATCAGAACCTGCACAGACAAAGCTTAGCTTCTAGCAATGACCTTGGGCAAGGTAGGACTCAGAGGAAAGCAATGATGATTAGTTTGCTAACATTTACTGAGAGATTAATTGGCTCCAGGCACAAGGAGCACAGTGGAGTCTGTCGGGGTCTGACCTCGACATAGTTGTCACGAGTGTTTGGTTCACGAGGAGGGGAGATCCAGCGGCGATAGGGATAGCGAAAGAGTACACAGACAAACAGAAGAAGGGAGACAATGAGGCACCCCAAAGCCAGGGTGGATACATCACTGGTGGGCAGGCTTGGGACTATAGGCATCATGGCCTCTGCAGGCAGCGACTCACTGCCCTGCAATCTTTACTGCATGCCTTCCAACCCGTAATGCACTGCTATCTTTACTCCATGCCTTCCAACCAGTAATGCACACATGGGGAGGCCCGGGCCTCTGCTTTATTTAGGGGAGGAGTTTCACACCAAGCTGGGAGGGACTTAGGCAAGGTACATCAGTACTTTTCCAGACATTCAGGTAACTTTACATCATACTTCGCTGGTTCGAATCCCAGGCCAGCAACTTGGATTCTCAGGCCCAATTAACATATCTATAGCCCCTGAACTCAGTTGGGGGAAGGTGAGAGTTCTGCAGGAGACGCCCAGGTGAATGGGCTGCACCTGGAAAAGGGATTAGGGAGGATGGGTTCTTTGTCTATAGAACAAAGAACCAAGAAGTAGCTAAGATATTTTTAGTTAATCCTTTGGAGAAAGGTTTAACCTTGCAATCTTTAGTCTCGGCTTTAGGAAAATATCACATTTATCTGTGGATTTTCAAAGGCTCCGTGTATTAATTTAATATATATAACTGAATATTAAGATGAAAGCAATTTGCCATTAACTGCCAGTGGCCTCATTTGTTACACTCGGGTCTATAGGGCCTCGAACCTCTGACCAGTCTTACACGGTCCGCAACAGGAGTCTTTGCTTGAGAGGAGTCCTCAGCCTACCTCTCTGTTGTCTCTCTCTGAACTGCCCATTCCCAGGATCCCCGCTGCACTGCTATCATGGCCTCAAATCCTGACTTCCTCCCCACAACCCACCCTGCTGCTGGAATACCTGTCCAGACCCTGGCAGGCATTACCGTGACGGTTGCATCTGAGGTACACTGGCCAGGGTTCGAATCCAGGTCTCCAGCATGGAAGGAAGGTGGAAACTCCCTGCCACTGAGCTGTCAATGCCTCAAAGTTTGGAGGTAAAACGTGATGTAGGAGCAGAAAATTTCAGAAATAGCACCCAAATTTCGGGTTTGAGCACCTGCATGAAAAGTAACAGAAATAATATGGAGTATGTTTCCCTAGGCTGACCTGGAGACCCCCGCCATCTCTAGGCAAAACACAAAACACAAAAATTCCAGTTTCTAAAAAGCAGAAACAGGCATCCATATGTAAATTGCAAGTAGCCTATTTGTTGCTGCTCTTAAGTGTCATCAAATCAGTTTCCAAGGAGTGGCTGGTGGGTTTGAACTGCTGTCTTGCGGTTAGCAGCGCAGTGCTTATCCTACAGCGCTACTCCAGGACTTCAAATAGCCTATGGTTTCATTATTTCATGACTATGAGGCATTTTCAAATAAGGATTGCCCCTTATAACCAAGCATGGGATATCAAATATCCGTATCCTTGCAGAACAAATAGCTTCCTTATATTTGTGTTTCGTTGTGTTCTTTTGGCTACAACTAAATGCTGCCATATGTTCAGAAATCGTCCGATGTTACCATGTTTCTTTTTTTATTTTTATTATTTTAATTTCATTTTAACTGGTTGAGGTTAAGTAACCCTATAATCTGAACTTCATGAATAACCATGTCATTGAGCAATTGCAAACTTCAGTGAGGATCGTTCTGTGGACAGTACGTTTTTGGTGTTTTTCCAGTTTTTTTCTGGAATGCCAGTAAAAGAAGCATGTCTGTGTGGAATCTCACAGCCTCCACTAGAAGTAATGAAGGTGAGGAACGGGGGTCTTGGCAAACTAAGTGGAGCCCTGGTGAACCCCTAAACCCAGACCTGGGAGCTTTTTGCAAAATGATTTGGGAAAGTCATTTTTAAGTGACTTGGGAGGCACTAAATTCACATTGAGCCTACTTGAGATCTTTAATGGGTTTTTTTTGAGTCTACACAATGGGTTGTGTACAAAGCATTCCTGTGTACAAAGGGTTTTTTCATGTCTCCTTGTATGACCACAAGAATTCCATTGTCATTGTGAGCTACCTTCGAGTTGGTCACTGACTCATGGCGACCCCGTGCACAAAAGAACAAAATGAAATGCTGCCTAGATCCAGAGCACCCCATGATCCGTTGTGGATGGAATTCATAGGGCTTTTAAATGCAGAAGTACATCACCAAGACTTTCTTCCTACTGCACCTTAGTCTAAAAGCTCTGCTAAAGTCTGTTCAGCATCATAGCAAGGGGCAAGCCTTTGCATACAGATGGCTGGGCACTGCCCAGGGAGTGTGTTATCCATCAGGAGTCAGACTCGGTCTTCTGCATGGAAGCCAAGAATTCCAGTACCGACCCGTTACTGCCTTCACAAGCACACCCCACAGACATTAATATCGCTGTGTTTCCGATTTGCAAGCGTTTGATGACCCTGCATAAGACCAACTTGTTAGTTAGTAAATGTCAGTGACAGAATTTAGACCCAAGCCTCTCCCACTCCAACATTCAAGAAGATAAAGCTTTCTACGTAACCCTACCTATGATCAGAGGGTGATACTGACATGGTGCTGTAGGATAAGCACTGGACTGCTAACCACAAGGTAGATGGTTCAAACCTGCCAGTCGCTCCTTGGAAACCCTATAAAGAATCAGTATGAGTTGGAACCGACTCAGTAGCAGCACTTAATACCGACAACACGAGCAGAGGGTGAGTAATGAGAAAAGCAGAGAAAACTATGGAGAGTTCTATGACTGTATCTTCAATTCTCTCTCTCCTCACATTCTAGACTTGCCTGGGTGTTTCCACAGTCATCAAGCCCCAAACCCAAGTGTCAGATTCCTTCCAACATCATTCCTTCTCATTGCTCCCATTTTATCGATCTGCTATCCACCAAGATGTTGGACTCCCTGGGGGGTGCAGATAGCTAACATGCTCAGCTGCTAAAAGGAAGGTTAGAGGTTTGAGGCTACCCAGAGGCACCTCAGATAAAATAAAAATTAAAAAAATTAAAATCAGCCATTAAAAACCCTAAGGACTACAGTTGTACTTTGACACATCAAGCCAGATCAGCTCTCTAAGAACTGATTTATCAACCTGTTGGAACTAGAAATTTGGGGGTGAACCTTAACATGTCTTGTGTAACATTCCACCTGTTTCTCCTACCTCTGAAGCGCCAAGCCAGCCAATCATCTTATTCTCCTATCTGCACTTACAATGACTCCGTTACTGTTCTCCCTGTCTGCGACCATTCTGAAAAGACCCTATGATGCCTCCACAGGACACGAGCCAAACTCATCATACCACATCAGCTGTTCCAGCCTCAGTTCCTGCTTCTCCTCACCCACCTCCTTCCCATTCCACCCTCACATCCAACTTCTCCCACCATCGACCATGCTGGGTCCTACATGCTCTGTGCCTTTGTACATCCGGGTCCTCCTACCCAAAGTGTCTTGTCCTCCTCATTCTCCTGGACACTCCCTACTTACTCTCAGGACTCACATGGACTGTTATCATCACTGTTAGACCCCCTGGTGGTATGGTGGAATAAGCACTGGGCTTGTAATGACAAGGTAAGTGGTTCAAACCCAC